TTTTTAAGCAGTTCACACATGAGCGATTCATCCTTCCTGATTATCTTCCTCTGTAAGGTCTGTAACAGTAGTTAAAGTTAGTTCATTAAAATACTGTAACATACAGAATCACAGACTTGACCATAAAATGGTTGACTGACAGTAATCCTAAAATACTTGTGAAGCAAAACACGTTAAGCTGCTGCTCCTCTTGGTGGCAGAGTGTTTACAGGACAACACTGTTTGATATGGCAACACTGAGCCATGAGGCACAATGGACATCTGTGACCTATTCAGGATCTAGTTAATGATTATTTTCTGCTCTTATCTCCACATTAACCATTTTCTGCAAGTTGTTACCTTGATGTCAGAGAATGTGTTCTCTTTAAAAATGCTTAGTTCTTGTTTATGGACTTGATTTTCACTTGTTTATGGCGATACAACCTCCTCCGGTTTCACTAATGTTCTGTAAATTATTATTTTAGATTATATTATATATTATATTCATGAATTCATGAATATTTCTTCACATCATATTGATTTTTCTTTTAATGAATGCTGATTAATGCCTACTTTACTGTCTCCACCAGCAATATTACATGTAACTTTATGTCACTAACTGTTTTAATTTGTTTTTGTATGCAAATAAAGTTATTATCTGTACAGTCATAGTCTAAATACTTGGATTAACTAAATCAAAGAATCATAGCGCAAATGATCAAATATCTAAAGGCTTACCTTAACTAGTTACCAGTGTTTTGGTGTTGTTCCTAGTCATTCCCAGTGTTAACTGACGACAGACAGGTATGAGGAGGAAGAGGAGGAAGCGGGAGGAGGAAAGACAACTGAGGCCTCTGTCTTTCAACTGGCAGTACGAACATGCCTACATGACCAACACTGAATGGGAGGGGCATCCACACTTTGCAATTACAGTAAAGAAGAGCTGCTGAGAGAAGAGTGGGAGAGAAATCAGGTTTGCCATTAGTGTAACTTTAATCAAAGTCGTTTTTCCCCAGTTTATCCGCTTTATTTCTTCTGGTACATATTTGAAGATGCTGCTGTACTGTGGTATACATAGCGATTTTTGGGGGATTATAATGTGACATTTGCTCGTCCACGCAAAACAGGTGGGGCCGGAAGCCTGATGACACAGTGTTTGCTTCGGCAGCACATATGAAAAATTGGAAATGACACAGATAATTAAACAGTGGATCATCGCTGGCACAGCCCCGCCTGTCTCCCAACTGGGCTTCTGGTTGTGTTGCTGGGGGGCTGGGTGGGGAAGGGGCTATTTCTCGCTAGCCCGGCCTGGCCATTCTTCATTGTTCTATCTGCACTAAAGATATGTATTTATATTTTTATGTATAAATAGGCTACTAGTGCTTGGTTTGACCCATCTGCAGCTTCTGTAGATCTAAAGGGCTCATTCTAAGGTAACAAAAACATAACAATTCTTATTTTCAGTTTTGCCAATTAAAATATGGTTATGATCATTATATTCCATTAGTGACAATAGACCAATGTTACACACTGGACCTTTAACAAGAACATGTGATCAAAGGTAATCAAACAGTCAGCTATTTATAATTTTCCAATTGAATACATTATAAAAAAATCGAATCTCTTTGTGGTTGTTTTCACTGCCTGTGTCACTATTGTCACTGTTGTGGTTATTTTATCAAATAAACAAAGCAATACCAGTACAATGTTTCTGAGTAGAAACAACATCATGAAAGTAGTAAAAATAATTGATAAAGACAATGAGTTTAGCTTTATATGTTTTTCCTTCTGCACACAGCCATGATGTAACAGTTACACTATGTCTTGGGTTATGCAGGAGTACATGTGGGTGGCTATGGAAAAAACAGAACAACCAGCAAGAAACCTCAGCATAGCCTGAGAGATATCCTACATTTGTCTGTGTGAACTAAAAACAATAGTTTTAACAGGCATAATGTCCCTAACCCAACCTAACCCCAAAGGTAAACAGTTGGCCAAATGAACACCAACTATGATTTGTAGTATAACTCTGTACCTACCTAAAGCATGTATTACCTCAATTTCCAGCTTCCTCTTCAAAACTGCTTCCTCTATCCTGTCCTATCTATCTATCTATCTATATCTCTGAATTTCTCAGCAGTGGAACTGTAGTCTGTCCTCACCGTAGGTTATGATGTTGTCGCACTCTGCTTTCTCTCTTCTTTACCTCACTTATGTTATTTTAAGCAAACCATTGTATATATAAATTATATTCATACCATTATATCATATCATATTTAGAATAACGTAATAATAATCTGTAATGTTCCTATATTTTAT